CGCCGATTGTGCTCGGGAATAATATTTTTACGTGATCGTCGTCGTCATCTTGGTCGTGGTCGTGGTCGTCGTTGTCGTTGTCGTCGTTGATGGTGCAATAATTGCGACGACAGTCGCGATACCAGGTGGCTTATTTCTGGACGACGACGCCGTTCGCCGCTCTCGCATTCTCCGTGACGTCATCGTATCGTGCACGTGTTTATTTCGGTGGCACTTCTCCTGAGAAAGGTTAAAGCTTTTGTGTGCACCCCCGCGCTCGTAAATCCCGCACGCCGCGCTGTGTGAAAACCGTTTCAGCATTTTCGACTTATGATTTATGTCACGTCGTTGACGTTCGCGCTTACGTAGAAGCTCGAATCGCGTATCGGAAGACGTCTTTAAAGCGAGTTCCGAACTAACGTTTCTTAAACTTTCTCGGTTCATAGAACTCTGAACGACGCTTCGTTTATTTGCCAACCCGGTAAAAGTATCGCGAAAATGATTTCGAGAAAGAGCGACCTGTGAACTGAATCTTCAGACGAATTTTATGTCTCGATCGAGGAGAATTTTCCTTCCATTTTTTCCCTCAAGCGTTTCTTTCCAATATGGCACAAAATAAGAAAATAATCTCATTATTAATATTAAAAAAAAAATGATTTTGTCTAATCCATAGAGATTTATCACAAAAAAAACTGATTCTGAAATGCTAAGTAAATTAATAGACCACCGATCATATTTTTGTGTTAAATTTATATTTAGTGTTAAAACTCAGCGCCGGAGTCTGCAATTTGTCTTATATGAGAATCGTGCGCACAATGCTGTTCAAGAATCAGATTTTAGCGCTTAGTGGGGCTATAAATACAAATCGATATACTCCGCAGAAAGAGAGAGAAACTTTGCTATTAATATTGCATCTACGTATGAAGTAACACACGTATTTATTACAGAATTGTAATGCAGGAAATAAGTCCGATAACTAAATTTATTTCAATTCAGCGAAATATGTCGTGGATCGATTTCAAGTGGTTTTCCTGATGAGGAACACGCGAAGTCAAAGCGAGATTTTTTAGCTACGCGAGTAGCTTCTCTTCAATTCCTTCTCGGTTATCGCAAGACGCCGACGGCTATCGATCGCAAATTTACAAAGAGACCGTCCTCTTCCTGTCGCAAGCGTGTTCGTGGGAGAACACCACGTGTGCATCGAATCACCCGAACACGTGGCTAAGGCCATCGCTTTCAATGGGGGAATTCTAAATACAGATCGTCGGACCGTAGTGCTCCTCCCGCTGTATGATTATGGTAGCATAACTACGTATAATGTATTTTGTTTACTACAAATACGAGCGGGACGTTCCGTATGTCATCGAGATCTCATTGCAAAATTTCTAACATTTATTCTACTTTCAAAACAATTACCGGAAAATTAACGCGTTGATTAATGCCCGTTTCTACCAATATAGATTAATTTTAATCTTCTCGATTCAACTTGTTCTTTATTTTTTTTCAATTTTTTTAAGATCGTTTCCTTTAGTTTGATATTTGATGGGGGAGATATCTCGAGAGAGATTTTATTATGCCAGTTGTATAGATCACTCTTCGAGTATTGAGAGAATTAATTTTAATTTTTTGAAATGAGAACTATGGATCAATGACCGCGCGGGATGACTACATTGAACCTTTCGCGACCTGTCATACATAATAAATAAATGCAGTTTTCCTAAAGAGAAAGACGAGCCGTACTGTTTACCCTATCCTTCCAGTGAATTGTTAGCCAATTGTTATCTCAGCGAACCGCTATGTTTCTTCCTTTTCAGTTCATCGGCTCTATGGAGGTTCCGCGACCGACTAGCCGAGTGGAGATCGTGGCGGCGATGCGAAGAATCCGCGTGAGTACGCGTAATAGCTAATTAACCCAGTTAGAGAGAAACAGTTTTGGCTTCGTAACCGCGGATCGTTTCATGTAATTCGTTTGATTCACAGTACGAATTTAAGGCCAAAGGGATCAAGAAAAAGAAAGTGACGCTGGAGGTCTCGGTGGATGGGCTGAAAGTGACCCTACGGAAAAAGAAGGTAATCATTGTTGAATACTATGTTGCTACTCGTTCGTATGCATACGATTGAACGCGTTGTCTCACTAATCTCAAATCATCTCGTTAACCCCTAAACCGGATAAGCTAATTCCCGTACATATACAAGCGAATGAGATGAGTCTGCTAGACTCAATAGTATATTACATAATTTCAAGAAGAAATGAAGAGAAAAGGAATATATTACACACACTGGCGCGGATTTGAATGATTTAACTCTCCGAAGTTGACGTTAAAATTTGTAACATAGACTGGGGAGATCTCTGTGAGATCCATTTAATATAAATTAATTAAAAGGCATTAATTAATTTAAAGGAATTAAAATGACATTAAAAAAATGAATATTATATTTTAATTAATTAATTAAATTTATTTATTTATAAGAATCATTCTGCAAATATATTATAAAGAAAATTGAATTTGTTTGACATTTATGACAAAGAGATTTATAATTAAATAGTTCAAAATTCGCAGCTTCGAAGGATTGAGTAATCGATATTCGATAAGAATTCTCAAAAACTCAATCCCCGGTGTTTGTGCTAAAAATGACATTTCTCTACTATATTCTTACTGCAATCTACTGCGATCTCGTAAAATCTGTTTCTAATTTAACTAATTTCTATTTTCTGCGGAGTTACGTTGATAAATATATTTTCTACACGCGATTTCGTCGTTTGCTTGCTACATCAGCACAATTCTTGTACGCGAAAATTCCTCTTGGCGACATCGAAAGATTTCCACGACGTCCGCATAAAATAAGGACGTCATTCGCGAATACTTGGAGGGGCGGCAAGACAAGAGGGGAAAATCACGTACACTCGATGACGTGCATTTCGTAACAGTTGAGATTTATAACGAGAAATGATTTTGGACAAGCGCCACTTTGTCTTCGCACTGATACACATGGGCGCCTCATATATTTTTGATGCTTTACATGCCGTAACCGATAGCGGTAACAGCCAAAAAAAAAAATATATCAGCTAATAATATTTTTTAAGTAATGACTCGCTATTCGTGATCTTTTTACAGAAGAAACAGCAGCAATGGATGGACGAGAATAAAATATATCTGATGCATCATCCAATTTACAGGTGAGATCGCCTGATTATCGTAACTGGTACTTTTCTTTACCGATTTGATTTATTAAATCTTTCAGCAATTTATATGATACTCGTACAAAATATGGAAATATTAGTAAATGAATACGATGAAAAATATCGCTTAAAAATAATGAACTCATTATTGTAAAAATATATTACGTGAAAAATCCAGAAAATAATGCACAATTTAGATGACTTGGATAATTTTTGAGTAAAATAAATACTGAATGTACTTTTTTTTTCTTTAGGATATTTTACGTTTCGCACGACAGCCACGATTTAAAAATATTTAGTTACATTGCCCGTGACGGGAGCAGTAATACTTTTAAATGTAACGTCTTCAAATCTAGCAAAAAGGTGAGTGTCAATTTTATCTCCGATAGTAATTTAATTAATCTTCAGTATACATATCATTGAGCTTCCTATGTCGGACATGATATCGAACTACGTTAGGAAAGAATTACACAGAACGTAGTCCTGCAATACGAAATTACGTGTTACTTTTTAGGATTTATTCTTTTATATCTCGCTACAGCTACGTTAAAAAAGTAAGGATAACAAATTGGCGTGTAATCAAGCGAAATTCGGTATAATCATGCGAAACTCGGTTAGACAATCCTCATCGATTTTTTTTTCTATTTCTGCGGATCCATTTCGCTATACAATTGGCGTAAGATTTACACGTCGCGCACGTGCGTGGCTCGTATGTACATACATACATACATACATACGCGTCGCGACAATTCACGTAGCTCGTCGCCTGGCGCTTCATCAACTTACGTTATTGTAAACCTATAAATAAATTCGGGCGGCTCCTCGACGGCATCCCGCCGTCTCCTCCTCGCCGATCATTTCCCCGTCGCGGAGACGAAAGGTGGGAACGTTCACGTTGCATCCCCGTCGAAGTGAGAGTGTATTTTCGCCTTTTTGCGTGGGTGCCGTGGATGGAGGGATGGCCCGGTAAGACTGCGACGGGGAGGAAACGCGTACGCGTAATGGGACCACGAGACCGCGGTGACGGAGGGACGTGTCGTTTTGTCGCGTATTTGCAGTGGCGGCTCAGTGCCGTTTGGCACCGAGTTATTAAAATAGTTCGGGGGGAGGGGGGGGGTATAGGCCGGCACGATCTTCCGCGATACCAGCAGGCTGGCGACCGGTGTCCGACGACTCCTCAGATCCGGAAATTCGCAGGAGAAACGTTCCCCAGGTGGAGCAAGAAGAAAGTCTATTTGCGACAGAATTTTCAGAGTATCCGATATTCTTTGCCCGGTATTCATAGTCGTATTCATTTCTTATATTTAAGATCGTCTTAGGTACAGTCTTAAGATGTCACGAACCAATCAGAGAGCCATATTAGCATCTTAAGACATTACTTAAGATGATCTTCAAATAAGAACGGTCTATGAGTACCGGCCTTTGTTTCGCATTTCCAAGAATCGTTGGCGATTTCCGAGCACAAAAAGTTATTCGAAAAGATTTTTACACCACGGATTTTTATTTTGATAGAAAGATAGGTATATTGATAGAATGATAAGTACTATATATTAATAGAATGATAGGTATAGATATTCTGTAAAATTTTTAGAATAAATTGTCACTAAAGAGTGCAGTCTTATACTCTTAAAGATTGAAAATTTAGCCACTCTTTTTCAAGACTGGGTCAATTTTCACCCTTTAAAGTGAAATTTCACTGTAACAAATTTAGAGAGTAAAGGCATTTATTAATATTCTAGGGCAAACTCTATATGAATATAAAATAATGACAAGTAAAGAAAAAAATGAAAAAGAAAAATGGTAACAAAACGAAAGGAAATGGAGAGATTTTTTAACGTACCCGTTGCTTCTCATATACACACGCACATCCTTGGCACTTCTCGTATGCCCAATAGATATCGGTGAACGTAGACATTTTCGTGCTTCTCCTTTGTTGAATTATTTGGGGATTCCGGTCGCTTTGAAAATCTAGGTGAATCCAGAAATAACTGGCGACGATATATCTAGAATGCCGCAGAAATATCCGCCTTGGCCGAAGGTTTGAACTTGCGATATCGGGCAAAAGTTCTGAAAAAGCTTTATCTCGTTTTCCCGCTGCTAGTCGCTCTATTTGCTATCGTTTACTTCAACTTTATGAAAACTCTCAGCGACGACTATGCGCTTACCCTGCTAATGGACTTTCATTCTTTTCACCTTATCTTTTCCACGAGATAGGAACTCAGGTTTATGTATAAAGTCATTTACTTTTGGAACTGTTTCCTCTTTGGGCCGTTTCCTCTTGAAGTCTTTCGTTTATTGCCGTCCGCGCAAATGGCGCATTTCCACTTTGAACTTCGTGCGCCATGAACTTCAACTGTTCGTGAATTTGTTTGAGAATGTAATGCAACAATTTTATGTACTACGTTTATGAACTCGAAGGATTTCCAGACGAGTTTGTTACACTCACTTGGTCGATACGTGGGGCGTACACTTCGGGAGCTACGTAAGATAATTGCGAATTGTCACAGGAGAAGGCTTGACACGCGACGATATATAATTTATCAACCGGGGGATATAGGAGTTCTCGAACGGTCGACCGTTAAATGACGTGCCGCGCCGTCGGGGTGGGCATACGCTGTAGAATAGCATACGTCGTGCGAATTTCGCGAGCGTCGCTTTCCGCGTTCTCCTCGTTCCGTACGCCCCATACTCTGGACTCACGATTTACTTTTGGACACAGAAACAGAAGTACAAAGCCATCGAGCCACTTACGCTTCTTCAGTCTAGTCAATTTCCATCAATCTCCCTGTGGTAGAGAGAAGCGGACAGGCGTAATTAAGAGAATAGACGGAACGCGTAAGTTGGAGAAGTTATTTATGTTTTTTTGGGAAAGAAAAAAAGTACTGTAAATCGTATGTACGGAAAATTAGATCGATTATACAAAAACTAATAATAACTGATAAAAATCGTCACGATGCTTAAGTAATCTTCCGGAGCTAACATCGAAATTTGTAACACTGTTACAAATTTACTAACACTGAGTCTGTGAGATCCATTTAATATATGTTGATCAAAAGATATTAATTAATTTCAAGAAACCAAAATTACATAATTCGTATAAAAAAGAATGAATATTAAATTTATTTTAGTAACAATAATTCAAATTTGCAGATAACAAACAATATAATCGGGACCCACGTTAGCTCCAAAAGATAAATATCTGTAGTGTCAAAAAAAGAAGAGATAAAATTTGCATGACTGAATTAAAATAAGTAATAGATGAATATTTTCACAACCGATATTTAGTCTTAAAAAAAATTGAATTCATAATACTGGATTTTAAGATGATCACGTAATGGAAAGTGTAGTACGCGCAATTGCTTGAGCAACTTGTACAATGCAGTTAATCCGAGAATAATCGCTTGTCTATATCTCGATTCTACATGGCATAGCTAGCAAATCGCCCACAGCCGCGGTTCGTATATTAGAAATGACCGATTTAAATCTAGAATTCTCAAGTAAGTTCTCCCGGCTATTTACTCTCCGCTATTCACTCCATTTACTATTCCAGTTAAGAGAACAGCGATCAGTAAATCAACGAGATAGCTTCCCCGCGTTTACTCTTCATCGCTTCGCCATGTTCGAGAATAGAAGATAAAAGAAAGAGCGCGAAACAGGAACGTCTCATAATAAAATACGAAACCGATCAATTGTTTAAGATGGACGCGGCATAACCGAGGATCGAGTTTGGATGGACAGAGAGAGAGAGAAAGGGAGGTGCCATTGAGCGGGCCGAAAGCGAGAATATTAATGCGCTTATAAATAAACCGGAGGAAAAATCCAGCGAAGAGAGCGTGTGTAGTCCCGACGCGGGCGACGTGATGCTTGCACGCCTCTGCATGCCGCCGCGCCGGCCAAGAAACGGTAGGAAGCCGCACGGTTAACTTCGGCTCTCGCGTTCCCGTTCGCGAGGACTTATACACAAATCGCGGAGCGACCGCGTTTCCCTCTTTTCCTCCCTTTTCCTTTTCTTTCCCTCCATCTCCCCGTCTCGTTACCCCATATATCCGACACACGAAACGAATTCGGTGCAACGACGCGCCTCCCGCTGATGGGTCTCGCAGTGGAAATGTGTGCAAGCGGCGAGATTAAACATCGCGTCTTGTTGGTGATTGAACGATCGGGAGCGAGTTAAGAGACGCGTGGAATGGCCAGCGAGTGGAAATAGGATTGTTTGATTACGAGACACGCGCTATACGATCGCCCGCGTTATTACGCGTAACATGACAGCGCACGGTAAGAGATTTGCGCGCGGCGACGTATAATAAGACGTGCTCGACGAGGTGAGCGCGTACAGTGATTTTGACGATCGAACAGTGAGATGCGTGTTGAGGTACACGATAACCCGTAATGACGCGAATTTACGAGTTTATTTTCATACCTTCCCCGGTTAAGAAGAGGCTGTAACTTCTCGGTGTGTACGCGTGCGTTTGCAGCCTTACAGGAAAACAATTTGATATGTAACGTGCACTTCTACTGAACAAATTATTGTCTGCAGATGTGCCTTTTGTTTCGTTGCTCGAACATTACTGATCGATTATGAATTCACTCATATTTAAAAAAACATATAATTTAAATCATTATACGAAATTGTTAATTTAAAATTAATATTGTAGTTTTCACTGTAGGATTTGTGACTGCGTTTTTCTTCCACTTTTTATTATAATTTGTTTTTTTCTTATTCTTTGTACATTATAAGCGAGTTTGTTCCCACAGAATGGTACGAAGAATAGCCGGTGTTAGTTTTTCCTTAAAACGGTTGATCAACAATATGTCTCGTGATGATCTCTCAAATTATATACATACACTGCCCTTACAGAAATTTAATACTGAAAGGTAATGATTAATTAATTATCAAGTACTGAACAAGTGCTTTTAATACTCAATACTTAATAAGTAATTAATCACTATGTTTCAGCGTTAAATTGACTAGTATTAAATTGGATTTCTGTAAAGATGATCCGCTTATTACTGATTATTGGTTTTCTATGGCATCCATCCCAAGTACCAAGATATCGTTTATTTGACGTGATTAATTGGTCATTCTTTACGAATCTGACGTCCTATCATCGTAACAGTGACGTGGACTTGTCACAGTCACATAACGTCATATTAAGCAACACCGAAAATACGTCATTATTTTCGTATTATTAACGGCGTAAATAAATGAGGTTATTAATTGATCACGTTACCAATACGTCATCGATTAGTCATTTTTCCGACGTCAATAAGTATAACGTTGTAAATACGTCATAAATAAATGACGTCATTAATTGGTAAAAGAATAACGCCATTACATCTTAAATGGATTACATGACGTTAATAATTCAAAATAACTAATTATCGACGTCAAAATGATTACAGTTTGCTACTTGGGATCGTTTTCAGATAGATAAAAGAATCGAAAGCGGGATATGTAGAGTTTACATTTAGGAATTACATCATTTTTAATCTTTAACATTATTTTTTTTATCTTTATACGAAAAAGCGATAGAGAAAGATATTATAAATGCATTTTAGTAACAGTCCAAGTATTTTGATAGATAAAAAATATGTGGTGATCTACATCAAATATCATTTTTCGTTTACAGATTTTATTTTATTTTTTTTCTTTTCAATTTCAAGACTAGAATGGAATTTTTAAAGCTGAAATCGATTATCGCGTAATCCGACGTGTCAAAAGAATCGACAAGCTCGAGACAATACGCGGCTATTCTCAGGATGGCAACCGGCAACAGTTTCAAAATTACACACAATTTAGCGGGGAATTTGCCAGATTGAATCCACGACGACTATTTATAATTGAAAACTGTCTGTGCAGATAGTTATTATGCACGCCAACATCGATTCTTCGAAACCGCGGTACATCGCGGATTTGCACCCGCGGATGTTAAATAAATTAATAAATAAATACGCGAAGAAGACACGCGTATGAAAAACGTTTTTTGTTAATGAAAGCAAACATGCGGAAATCCGGCGGGAGCGTGAAGTTCTGCGATTTTCGCGTCAGCGGTTACGACTTACGATTAGTTACTAGGAATTGTCGATGCAATGCTATTACGGTATTCTACTTCGACGGTCGGTGTCAGGGTTAATGCATTTTAGACGTTTGCAAATGTTTACTTAAATATAATTCACGTAAAATACGCGCCCATTTCGCATATATCGACGTTTACGCGCCCCTGATGGACAGCCATGTTATTTTATACGAAAAGATTGTGTTTGCACAATTATATCCATATAGGACGTCCGGTAGGAAAACATTAGAAAGATTGGATATTTGGAATTTATCGTTCTTTGAATCGCGAAAATTCTCTGAAAGACCAATTTAAGCAGAGTGAAATGTTAATGATAGATATCTGATTTAGAGATAAACAATCTTATGGAAGAATATCAAGGCATAAATAATCTCAGAATAATAAATTAATAAGAATTTGATCTCTTTCAAGAAATGCGAACAAATGATAAAATTCTATTTAATTTCAAACTTCTATTTCATTAAGGATTAAAATGTGACAATAAAACATGGTATATATAGAGGATAAATAAAATGATATATATATATATATATATCTTTAGATTTTTATATCAGATTTAAAAATAAAGGAGACAGATCCTTGACCTTTAATTTCTCATACACATTAGCCGCGGATCATTTGGTGTATAAAGTTTTATACATGTTTACGTTCTTTACGGCCTCGACAGGCTGAAATAAGTTCAAAGAAACTCGCAGAGTAAACGATTCGCCTTTGTGCCATAGAGTGACGAATTATCTAAATAAAAAAAATGTAGTTTGCAAGAGGATCGCGCGGTGGATGACAGCATCCGCAGCTGCGAACATGTGAAAATTCGAAACGGAGAAGAAATCGTAAGCTATGCTCAAAAATTCTTTAAGAGGCACGGCAATGGCCTCATCCGAACCGTCAACACCAGCGAGTCCTGGTCCTAGCAGTCCTCTAGGCTTTGAAACAACACCTAGGCCACGCAAAAAGCTTTCATTCAAGGAGAAACCGGAGACTTTCAACTTCTTCAAACTACGAAAACCGTCTACACGGCCGAGACTGATACATGCACAAAATAGCATCGACCTCAGCTTCGACGAAAATCCTTTCGAAGAGGAAAACGAAGATCTCGATGAACTCGAGGTAAAAATCTCTATTCTGACTGAATATGAAGAAAATTATATTTTTCTAAACGATTAAATGGAGTTATCGAGAAACGATCGACATAGGAAGCTCGCTGATGTGTATCTTTATAATATTATTTATTGCTCTAAAATCTTGTTCTTTTATTAAATAATATTCTTATTACAATAATCAGATGTTGTTCTGCGTATTCGTGAAATTGCACGCGAGATGATTAGACGAGAAAATAAGATGAATGTGATTTAATTAGAGTCAAGCAATGAGGGTAGTCAGAACAGTCGGGCAAGCTTTCGAAGTGTGCCATAAGTTAAGCATAAACAACACTACGGAGGATCGGGGAGAGAAAGACGGGGAGAATCACGGTGAAAATTACGGTGATGTTTACGAGGACCAAGACGAAATTCCTAACGAGCAATCTCAGCCTTCTCCGACGCCGGTACATAAAGGTGAATGTCAATGATACTG